CCCCCCCCCCCACACACACAAGACAAAAGAGAACAAAACAAAAAAAACGCATCACCATAGCCACAACAATCCACCTGGTCAGGAATAATTCTCTGCCACTCCTGCAGGACAAGACAAGTCCATGCTCCCGTAGACCATAGCCAATTCTTACACTTATGTGCTGCACAACTACTTTACTGTAGATTTTTTCTTTTCAAATAACCTATTTTCTGTTTTCATTTCAAATTTCTGTATTTTTCCTAAAAGTTTGTATTAAAAATTCCATAGTATCAAGTTAAAATTGAAACATTGCAAGGATATGATAAGGAAACTTCAGTTTACCAAAGGTAAAAGGCATTGCAACTAAAAGCAAGTGGGTTTTTTTTTACTTTTCTTGAAACATACTTACCACATAGAAATGTTTAAAAATTACAAGAAAATTTTGACTATGACCACTGCTTCCTATTCCAATAAGATATAGTAGTCAAAAAATCAGAGGTGATTCCTATCACAAATATTTGTTGTCTAAACAGAAAATGCACAGATGTAGATTATGAAAAAAGGACCATAAAACAGTAATGTTGTGAATATCAGATTCCACATGGTCTTCTTTTCTGTCGGTGTTGTACTTTGTGATTGATCACTTTATTATTGCACATGAGTTTACCTGTTATTGGAAAGCAAAGAATACACACAGGAGATAAAAATGTTCACAGCTGCAACTATGGAAAAAGCTGAATCAGAATTTACATCTGGAGAATCTATAGAGGAGAGAAACCTAGATTGAAGCTCTAACAGTATGTTCTTACTGAGGCTCTGAAGGCTCTAATAACGTAATATCTGATACAATGAGAATCCTACAGTCGTCTTTTTGAATTTTACGTTTTCTAGTAAGAATAAGCTCTACCTTCATTCTTTCTTTTACAGAGGCTATGGAATCCCTTTTTCTTCTCTGTGGTCACCTTCCTAAAAAACAAGACACTTTAAATCCCTCCACTCCTCTTTCAAGTTTGCCAGAGGTTGTTTAACGTAAAGAATAAATCTCTGCATTCATACTGCATAATTACTGAAATTTTGTTTTCTCAAGAAACCAGGTTGAAAAGGATGAAGGAAGCACTAATAGGAAACAGTTGTTTCCCTAGGATGAGAGGTGACAAGGATGGACAGGTGGGCTTTCAAGAATGGGAAGAGAAGATCTAGAGTGGAAAGTCAAGTAACACAGTGAGAAGAGTGGTTAACCTACTAAATGAGATGTTGTGGGGATTGAAACAGGTAATTGCAAGGAGTGGGAAAGATGAGAGATGAAATCAGACGAGAGTGAGAAATGAAAGAGAACAGGAGAATGGATGAGAATACAGAAAGTAATTAATATCAGGCTTGTTGGGGTGAATAGCTTAACTGAACAACTAGCCCCCTCTGGAAGACATTTTCTCAAATTACTTGTAAGCACAGATTCATTCGTCTTAATGCAAATGAATAATGCAAACCATGGAACCTGCAAGAGGAAAAACATATCTATATGTATTTCAGATAGCACAAGAGATAGCAGCGATCAGAAGTTCTAGATGTCATTTATACTCATCAGCATGGAACAGAAGGAGCAAAAAAAGAATGTTCCATGCTGCAAACTACAAGGATCAGAAGTCATTCAGCACAGATATTTGAGTGATATTTGAAAATAAACTTCAGTAAAAGAAGGCTCATGCTCCAGGAAAAGAGGTCACAGTGAGAGAAGTTACAGAGCTATGACAGCTAATAACTAATAATGAGTAACTGTCTGTAGCCAATGACATGATAATGGGTTTGGAAATGTTATAAAAATGGGAATAATTTTAAAGATTAAAATTAATCTAGTTTGAGGATGAAAAGGTCTTCAGTTTTATTTAGTAATTTATTGAGGGTTTAAAGTTAATTTAAAGCCTAGAAACGCAACTGGATGATTTTAATCCTTTCTTGAAACTGGCTCAGTGAAGGCCAGACTGCCGTATTGGCTCTGGTACTTTCTTTGCTAACAGAAATGCTGAGGTGGGTGATGCTGAAGATGTAAAGGGCAACAGTCTCCATAACTACCCATGCCCACCACACAGTTTGGAAGAACATAATACTGGTGCAAATCCCATCCTGCCTAACTGTGGAAAGGAAGATACAGTTTTGTTTGCACCACCTAACCTTACAGAAGTGAGGCCCCTCCACTTCTCTCTTGTATGTTCTCTAGAAGGAATGCCACAGTTTGACCTTCCCTAGGACAGCAGCCAGTGAACAGCCCCCTTTCACAGAGCTAAAGATTTCCATGGTATGGATGGAAAAGACAAAATTGGCACCTTATTTTCAGCTCTTGTAAAGAAATGGTCTCTTGCCTTCAAAAGAATATGTCAATTTTATTTTCAGAGAACAATTCCACAAGGAGTCTGAGCAGTCTTTGAGGCCTGGCAGTGTTTGATGGGAATGTATGTGTGGGGGGTGGAGGGAACAGGCACAGAGCAAACAGCCAGGAGAGCGCATCAGCATTCTCTGCTTTCAAACTAAATTGGCTTCATTACAACTCTTCCTTCTCTTTTGTAAAGTTGATCAATTTCTAAGAAACTGTGAATTTACAACTCTTGTCTATTAAATTAATTTGGCTAGAATATAACGAGAAGTAAAAGACAGCCCAGAAGAAGCAGGTCATTCTGTATTTCCAATTGGTGATCTCAAAGAGCCTTAACAATAAGCATCAATTACTGCTTTTGAGAACCTGAATTGTAAGTAACAACAATTCTCATTTTACAGATGAGAAACCTCAGATACAGGTCCTGTGACTGCAGGGGTCGCAGTGTAGCAACAGTATCTCATCTGTCAATCTCTGCTGCTCTTTCCCATATTATAGGATCTTTTCTCAAAAAATTAGTAAGTAATATTACTTTGGGTTGCCAGTCTAAATTTGCTCTTTCCTTTGCCTAGGCAGGGGTTTATCTAACTTATTTCGTCTTTTCATTCTTCATCCTGACCTCTACTGCTTTTTTCTTTTCCTCACTGCTGCTTAAAGTTGTGTACATGGTGAGGATAGCATGGCTAAAATAACATGTTGTATTTTACCCTGAGGGATGTGAAAGTTGTGATCATTCTTATCTGTTTCAGCAAGGGGTTCAAAAGTCTTCTCTATTGCCAAGAAAACTTTATCTTCTACTGTCATGAGACTTACCCTTGAGGTTAGGAGAAGTGCTGTTCCTAAAGTAAAGTAGATGACAGGAAAGAACATTACCTGAAAAAATGCTGCTCTAGGTAATAACTTGAAATACAAAGCTTTTAAATTTAATAATGATATTCTGTAACTGACCCAAATTCTGTGGAGGGACAGCCTACAGAGGGAAACAAACCCCTTAGATCCCAGGCAGCACAGTAACTATTAGCAAGCAGATATACCTGAAGACAGAACAGAAATCTCCCCTTACTGGTGATTGATGAAAAAATATTTGTTATTTGGAAGATCTGTTGTATGTAGAAATATTAAGACACGTGGTCTAACTCGTCTGTACTGAACAAAACACTGTTTTCCTTCTTCAAATATGGTTCTAACAGAGCCTGAAGCATCCTGCAACAGAGACGGATAGGCACCATCCAAAATTACAAGTAAGCATCTATGTTTCTAGGAAGTACCTTTTCTCAGAAATTTGCTCACATCTTTGCAGGATATTAAGGCCTGTGCTGGCTGCATGACTACCGCCTGCCAAAGATCATGGGAGTGTTCTGTTAAGTATGCTCCAGTTTCTTGAGAGTACAGTCCTTCTTTCACAATCTGCTATGTTCAGCCTCGTGCTAGAAATTAATCTACCCCAAGATACCACAGAGAGACAACTTTTGTACTGTGAAAGTCTCAGTGACACTGTTTATCTGCAAGTATTAAAATACCTCTAAACTATGTTCCAGTGTGCTTTATTCCTGGTATATATGACAATGACAATAAGAAAAGAAGGGAGAGGCAGTACGAAAAGAGTAATAAATCTAATAGCGTGGACTGGTGGAAAAATGCAAGAGAGCCCTTATTGCAAGAGGAAAAAAAAAAAATCCACACCCAAAAAGCAATAACGACCAGACCATTTTCTCTTCAGTGGAGGCTTTAAAGCACCTGAGTTGAAAGATCTTCAGTTTGCAGAGCAGACACACCAGGGAAGGTAAGCAACTCTTTATTTTAGGCCACTCCTAAGTTTGTAATTGACTTTGTGATGCGACCAACATACGCCAAGCTGGTTACCCAAATAATAATCATGTAACTGACTGGAAAGATAATTTGGGAATGTCTGAGTGCAGTCTGTGTGTAAAATCTATAAGCATCAATTTGGGAACTCTCTCTTGTGTGAAGAACTGACAGCTGGCTTGATGGCAGATGCATTCAAATGATATTGCTGCCATTTTACCATTTGTGGCTGAATAGTAAGTATAACATACCTCCTCTCCCTTCCTTTTCGAACAACCCGGTGGATTGAGTTTGGCTAGCTGGCATCATCTGATCTGGCTTTCTTAATGCAGGTTAGGGCAGAGCAGAAGATCAGCACAGAGGTCAAAATTCAGCAGTTCTTGATCTTGCACTCAACAGCATGAGTTTTCTGTTAATATAGTAGAAAAAGAAACAGATATAATCAATTCACATATAATTATTCAAGAGAATGGTGCATTTTTTTCCACTTCTGTAGGGTTTTTTGCATCATAGCAGAGGACAGTGCTAAATGAGATACATACAAATACTGTGGAAGGGAAGATAGGTGCTTTCTCCCACTTCTTTCCTATTTTCTTTCTTTCTTTTTTTTTCCATCAGAACAGAAATGTGGCTTATCAACTGCTAGCCCTGAATCTTAGCACAGAAGCTTTTCTTATTCTAATGGACATTACTCATACAAAACATGCTTGTTTGATTGACATTGATATCATTAATGACCCCATCAATATTAGATGCTCAGAAATAGTGAGAAGGAAAAGAGTTCATTTGCACTTTGAAGCCTCTTTTCAGTGGGGGAGGATTCTCTGAAAGAGAAATTTTGGAAAATACTTTGCTGCTTCCTTGCTAATAAAAAAGAAAGAAAGAAAGAAAGAAAAATAATGTATTATTACACAGGTTTTTGTTTGCTTCAGGAACTTACACATTTTGAGTCATTTACCCAGACTAGCAAAGTTTAATAGCTATTAATTTGATAAAATGAATCTTAATGTCACTGTATTTCTTCAGAGAAGGAAGTATATATCACACGAGAATTTCAGTTAGAATTGTGTTAGCACCATACTATTTCAAAGTTAAGATTGAGAAAGATAATTAAATAGAAAAAGAATGTACTCTGGAGACATAAAATGTACACTGCAAAATGTCCGCTATTAAATAGATATGCTTTAATCAATTCAGAGTACCAGAACTGCTCCGGTTCTCTGTCTCCTTTCTCCTTGGTTTGATGCTGAGATATTAAAGTATCATATCAGAATCGGATATCTACCTGAGATAGTCAGAGATCTATATTGAATATTACAAGATATCATAGGTAAAGTATTGGTGGGAGCTACTAGCTGGTTGGTTTTTTTTTTTTTTCTAAAACAATCTGGCCACCTGTTTATGTGCTGGGAATTAAACACTGGGATTTAGACACTTCACTTCAAATATCTGTGTCTCAGTTAACAGTAAATTAGATGAATTTGATTTCATTGGCTAGGTTCCCTAAACAAAATTTCCTTTCTTCATTAGTAGGATTAACGTAGTCTATTAGCATTACTATTTAAAATCACGACTGACAGCAAAGGCCAAAAATTAATCTTCGCAAACAGTTGAAACAGGGACAAAAATAAGCAGACCTCTGGAATCATCTCCATTTAGCAAATTAATTAAAACAACGTTAGGTAACTTAGGAATAAGAATACCCCTGAGACTTTCTTTTTAATGGCTTTCAAGATCATGGATACAGTACAAAGTAAAAAATCGTTTGATGTTAGATGTGTGGAAGCAGCTTCACTGGCATATTTTTTCTGCTGTTTTGAAGTTAGCTCCACATTCTGATTTCTCCTGGCATAGCATGGTCACCTCTGTTTTTATTTAACCAAAAAGCACTCTTGATGACACAGTATATTAATATTCACACTAAACATTAGTGAGAACATAGTAAAGAAAAAGTGAAAAATGACTGTTAGAAATTAGAGGATGAATAGGCAGTGCTACAGGTAGACAAATGCAAGCTCAGGTGGCACAAGTTAAATTCACTTTTCCCAGTTCTCCTCACTAGTGTTTCTCAAAACACAGGAGTATCATTTTAGCTTCATTCAGGTTGGAAAGACTGAAACACTTTAAAGCTTGACTTTAACTGACACTTCGGTTGCGCTAATTGTATTTCAAGCTTGCACCTAAAGGTGCTGCCCTCCTGCACTGTGACTTCCTTACCAACAGCAGGCCCAGTGATACAGAAGTGCAGGTATACAACTCCCTTACCTGAAGAGGTAGAGTGAGCTATCAGCCCGGGAGGTAATAACAGAAGAAAACACGTGAAAGCTTTTCAGATAGGGCTGCACTCTCAGCCCTCACCACCACACTGGGGATCCCTTCCTAACACGTTTTTGTTCCTGCTGTGATTGCTGTGGGAGTATCTCCCACCCGCTGGGGCACAGGGAGGATTGCTGAGAACAGCAAAACATTCTCCTGTTGCAGAGACTGTGAAGGAGCTCAGAAGCCTAGGCTGTAGAGGATCAGCCCTGTCCAAATTGCAATGGTAATTTATGACTTGCCTTTCCTGTCCCTCTGCAGGAGGTTAGGGAGCAGAGAGTGATAAGTGCAAACAGTAACGCTCCTAGTCAAAAAACAAGACGCCACAATGCTATTGTACTGGACTCTTTAGTAATCCTGATCTGTAGAGGCTTAAAGAGACATTGCTTCTTTATTGCACAACAGGTAATCAGGCAAGCTGGCCTTTTATAAATTGCAGACCAGATAATGGGAAATACATGTGGGCTGTACCATATAAATAGGGTGCGTTCAGAAGTGTTACAGACTTCCTAGGCAGGCAGATGTAAGGCCCTGTGACTCATAGCAAAGGAGACTGACTGCTCCCTGGGATTTGCAACTATTCTAAAATACTGACCAGTCCCTTCTTCTTTGATGGGATGGAAAAACAAGAATTGGAAGAGCCTGCTGGGAGCCAGTGTGTCAAACTGCTGGACAGGTAGCCAGACAAAGCTGGTTGTGCCAATTTTCACCAGCCCTAAAGGTGACAGAAAATTTGTATGTACCCACTCTCAAAGAATTATATTAGCCAGATTGAAGGAGCTCTCCAGGATCTTTTTAACAACCCCCTCAGAATCAACCAATTTAGTCACATAAATTTTATTTCACTAAAAAAAAAAAAAAAAAAAAAAAAAAAAAAAGAGAGAGAGAGAGAGAAAAGCAACTATCAATCAGCTTATGAATAATGCCCTGCTCCATGTGTATGTTTTTTTCTGACCTCAACTCGGTCAGAGCTTGACTTTGTAATTATCTTGCCTTCTTCTGGCTAGCATGAAAGAGGATATTAGCTCTATTACTACCAGCCTATTAACTTTCTGCTTTCACTCACACAGCACAAGCTGGTCTCTTGGAGCCAAAGGTTTTTTGAAGCCAAATGTCTCCAATCTGAGCAGTCTGTAGATAGCACTAATATCTATGCTTGTGTATATAGTTAGAGATAATTTAATCTGAGATAGTTTAGAGGTGGAATATCTCTGTAATGGGGAAATGAGAACTTTATGAGGCCTTCAGCATCATTTGCTACAACAGTTACAACTTTTGCAAGAGAATATCATACACTGAAATGATGGCATTGTTTTACTATGGCCCTTGTGCAGACCAGGGACAGATTCTCAAACAAGGCTATCTGAGAATGCTGTCCCACCAGGGTTGTATTTGTAGAGCTAAGTTCTCCCTAACTTACAATTTACACATTACTCAGTTGAATATACACCCCAAAATAGTTTTCTGGAGTTAATGAAGTGGCTTGTAGCTGTATTGTTCACATATTTTGCTACACATAGAAGTCTGACAGCATTTGCATCTTACTCTACTATAGTCATACACTCACAATACTGTACTAAAAACTGAGCCTGTGTTAAAGCAAGCTGAAACGATCAGCTTAAGTACACCAAGGCTTTTTAAAAATCAAAATTTCAAGGAAATAAAAATTATTTCATGATACTGTTTGCAGACAATCACTCACTGAAATGATTCCTACTTACAAAGACAAAAACACCCTTCTGAAGTGCAAATTATTATTGTCCAGTTTATACACTAATCCCACCTGAATTTTCTTTCCCTTTTTAACCTTTTTCCATTTACTCACAGCTTTCCAAGTAAAACAATAACTCTATAAGTTGAAAATGTTTTAATACAAGCTGCTGGCAAGAATAAAAAGTATGGATTTTTTTTTAAGTACTGATTATCATTTGACACGCACAGACACTGGATTAGTACAAATGATTTCAGAAACTCCAAAGGGGCTATTATGGTCTTTTCTTGCATCAATAGTCCACACACAAAGAGAGAATTTACACAACAGAATACAAGGACTCCATAGGAACACTAAAATCAAGACATTTGTGCTTCAAAACACCCATTTACCTGATATGTTTTTTAATGCTTAATGCTAATCTGCTTATTAAAACCTAGTACCCAACTGACCACTTTGTGTGTAAAATTGTTTGCCAACTGCAGTGCATAACATCCAGGAGAACTTGCTAGCTGTTCAGTGGGTTATGATGAAGATTAACTAACTTCAAGATTTCCTATGGATTTAAGTAGAGCAGGTAGGTAACCTCCTAATTCCTCTGCTAAAATACAGTTGGTCACAATTTTTTCCTCATGGCATTGTTCAAGCATGTAAGAACCCAGAGAAAGAAAATATACTCTGAAAACTCCTTTACGTGTCCCAAATTCTAGGCCTTGTGGCAGTCTGCATTACAGCAGTCTCAAGACTACTGCTGAACTACAAGTGAGTTTCCAAAAAGCCATTCTTCAAAGAGGAACAACTGAAGCACAGCAGGGTTCTGGCTTTTGCCTTCATTTTTTCCACTCTCCCTCTCTCCCTCCTTTTCCATCCTTCCTCCACCACGTTCTCGTGCCACGATTCAGAAGATGGCAATGCAAAGCCAACAGATGGGCTAAACACAGGCTGACAAAGAGACAGAGAAGTGGTTCCTAACAGTTGGATCCTGCCTGCTGCCATGCTTACTTTACCTCTCCTTTTTTTTTTTTTTTTTAAAAAAAAGATTCTTGAGGATCCAAATGAATTGAAACATACTAGGAAGATTGTTCTTTAGGGGCTTATTTTTCATTCATAAACCCATAGCATCACAACATAAAATAATCCTATTTATTGTAGTGATTTTAATTTTAAGGCACCACAGGATGAGCTGTAATTACTGACTTTGTAACAGGCTTCCCATTCTGCAAGTTGTTACATCTCTTCCTGGCACAAGATTTTACTTTATTATAACCTGTTTTACTAGCTCTACCTGGTAAAGTTGTAAATTATTTGGGGAAAATATAGACTGGTCATCACAGAAATTCTATCACAGAAGGGTCAGTAGTTGCTACTATGGAAGTAATTAACAGCAAAAACACCGTCCAAATTTTGACACATTACACAGACTTTAAAAAAATAAATACATACTTCTTTTGTTTCCATGCTCCACATTCAGCTTGTGCACATTCAGCTTGTGCACCACAGTAGAGCTCCAACACGTACTCTAACAACACAGCCCAGTATGGGAACACACACAGGATAGAAAGATGCATTGCTTAGTTGGAGATATACTTACTGTCAGGAAGCAATGATTTTGTGATAAAGAAGATGGAGTATATGACTGTAAACATTAAGCAGTATTTTCAATTGATCTGCTCTTAATCACAAAAAATGTACACTGGCTTTATTTTACCATCTGTACACCCTTAAAATGGTAGGGGCAAGGAGATCAAGCAATGATTTTCTCATCCTTCATAGCTTACTTGTGAGAAGTGGAAAATGCCTTCACCCTAGCTCTGGTGCCAGGCATTGAGTTGTTTGCTATCGCAGCACTTTGCATCAGACAGAGGAGACTGAATTGTGAATTCTTCCTAAGTCCAGTAAAATATTCTCAAATGCCTGTGCAGCTCAAAGCAGCTGTTAAACCTCTGCATGCTGACAGCAACTTCACACCTGTGCTCTGATAGAATAGGGATCAGACATATCTAAGAGATACTGGGCCTCTTAAGAAATCTCCAATGCTTGTGCTGGAGAAAAAAATATATATATATGTATATATAAATAAAAGGGCATCTGAGTGGGGGAAAAAAAAATAGAAAAAATGCAGGCCTCACCCATTTCTAAGTGCCCAGGACCATCCAAACAAATCTGAATGTAGGAAAGGTTAGGAAAGCTCAGGAAGGCTCTGCGCTTCACCCTACTACCTGAACTTTCTCAGTTTAAGTACTCGATAAACTGGCAGGAAAAAAAAAAAACAACAACAACACAGTTTCCTTTAACTGATAGATGTATCAGTTAAAATTATACTAATGTCAAATCACAAGGGATACAAAAAGTCACAGAGATCATGATATGGAGCTTTATTCCTGAAATCATCACTTTCTCTGCTTCCAACTGCACTACATCACTCAGTGCATTACTTTTTCTACAGTTGACAAGATAACAAACATACCCTAGGAAAATACAGCCCTGTAAGAAGAAAGTGTCATCCTTTGAGCCTTGATGTCAAACAAATGAATATTCATTCAGATAAACACCTGTTATATCCACAAATTCCTGTAGTAGATCTGTTTTAATAAGGTAATAATCTGTTTTAAGGCTAGAGAAAAAATAAAATAAAAACAAATCCGGACTGGCTTTCAATTATCCTCTGTTAAATGGACTTTATTTTCATTTTGTCTCCTAAAAGCCACAGAAGCCACAGCACGTAGCAGCTGATGTGGCAAGCAGCCCTTGATGAATCTACTTACATTCATTCTGTGGATGCATGCTCTGCTAACCATTTTTTTGGACATCCACGCTGATTTTCACCCGAAACAAAATAAAAGTTAAACACTTATTCCCGACCCTCAAAGTACCAACAACCCCCACTTTGAGCATCAATAGGGAAAAGAAATGCTTTTACTGCTGACTGATAGATTTTTGATATTGCCACGCTTCCCTTATACTAATTATGCCCAGATTGCTCATCATGCCAGATACCGTCTATGCTAAGAATTTTCTACAGCGTACCTCAGGGGCAAATCGCTTGTAGTGGTGATCTGGGAATCCTCTGCAGCCCACTTTAACAAACAAACCTCCGGTATTCCTCCCCACCGCATCACTCAGCTCACCCACCGGACCGTCGGCGTACCGTACAGCCGAGCTAACTCCAGCTACCGAGAGAACCGAATTCCCTGACACAACCGCTCAGCTCCTACAGAGCGCAGCGTGCACCCTGTGGCCTCTCCGTCCTGCTAAACTTAAGCAAACAGAGGCTTGAAGCCTTCGGGCTGTTGGTAAGGAAAGCCCTCGAGGCGCACGGTGCTGAGGTGAAGCCCTGCTGCTGGACAGCGGCTGCGTGTCCGTTTCCAAAACGGAGCTCAACGAGCATCGTTCATTTCCCTTCTGCTGAAGCCACTTATCCGCAGCACGGGTACTCATCGCAAATAGTTACGCTGCTTTTACGGGTGGGTTTTATTGCTGCAGGATCACTTTGGAATATTCACACTGCTCCAATTTGCGGACGCCTCTCGCTGCAGCGCTGACCAGGCGGTGCGAGCAGCTCCTCGGGCGCGGCGTGACGGGCCGGGAAAGAAATTCAACCTCCGTCCCACACCGCCTTCCCGTGGCACCCATTGCCACCGATACAGACTACCCCCTTTCTTCCGTGAAACACTCAGAACTCGGCACCTAGGTGCTTACGGAGCGACTCCTAATTCTGATGTTAAACTGCACGGGGCACGAGGCGGCTCGGCGGTGCGGCCGGAAGGGCCCCACCACCGCCGGCAACCCCGCGGGCGGCGAGGTGCAGCCGGGACAGCGGGCGCAGGGCACCCAACTGTCGAGGACGGCGGCGGTGCCCGCGGTCAGGAGCCGGGCGGGAGCCGGGCAGAACCGCGCCGCGCCGCGCCGCGCCGCGCCGTGCCGCCGTCGAGGGCGGCCCGCTCCCCCCGGCGCGCGCCGCCGCTTTGTCCTTGCCCGGCCCGGAGCACGCGCGCCCTCGGCCGCGGCGGGAGAGCGCCTGCGCGCACCCCAGCCCGGAGGGGGGCGCGCTCTGCTGGCCGCCAGGCGGGAGCGAGCGCCCCCTCTGCTCTCCCCTCCCCTCCCCCGCTTTCGGCAGCCCCGCCG